CCCCCGACCCCACAGAACAGCGACCCCCGGGCCCGGCCCCACAGAACCGGGGACCCCCAGGACATGGTGTGGGGGGACCCCCGGACTCACCCCACAGAACAGAGACCCTCGGGCCCACAGAACAGCGACCCCTGGGATATGGTGTGGGGGGACCCCCAGCTTCACCCCAAAGATCAGAGACCCCCAGGCCCACAGAATGAGGGGACCCCCGGGCCCGACCCCACAGAACAGGGACCCCAGGACATGATGTGGGGGGACCCCTGGACTCACCCCACAGAACGGGGGACCCCAGGACATGGTGTGGGGGGACCCCCAGACTCACTCCACGGCACAGACACCCCCGGCCCCACAGCATGGGGGGATCCCCGGCCTCACCCCACAGAACTAAGGACCCCCAGAACATGGTGTAGGGGGACCCCCGGACTTACCCCACAGAACAGGGAACCCCTGTCCTGACCCCACAGCACAGGGGGACCCCCAGCCCCATAACACAGGGGGGACCCCCAGCATGGGGGGGACACCCCCCATGGCCCCACAGCGCAGGGGGACCCCTGGCCCTACAGCATGAGGGGGACCCTGACCCACAGCTGTGGGGTAGGGGGGACAGCAGTGGGGGTGTGGGGCTGGGGGACCCCAAGCTGTGGGGTAGGGGGGATGTCTGGGGGTGTGGGGGGCTGGGAGACCCCAATCTATGGGGCCGGGGGACCCCAATCTGTGGGGCAGAGGGACCCAGATCTGTGGGATTGGGGATCCCAATCCATGGGGCAGAGGGACCCTGATTTGTGGGACTGGGGACCCCAATCCATGAGGCAGGGGGACCTGCCCCAAATAAGGGATCCATCCATCCAGGTGATCCCAAATAGGGGATCCAGATGTCTGGGTGACCCCAAATAAGGAATCCAGGTGTCTGAGTGACCCCAAATAAGGGATCCATCCATCCAGGTGATCCCAAATAGGGGATCCAAGTACCTGGGTGATCCCAAATAAGGGATCCAGGTGTCTGGGTGACCCCAAATAGGGGATCCATCTGTCCAGCTGACCCAAATAGGGGATCCAGGTATCTGGGTGACCCCAAATAAGGGATCTATGTTCCTGGGTGACCCCCAATAGGGGATCCAGGTAACTGGGTGACCCCAAATAAGGGATCTATGTTCCTGGGTGACCCCCAATAGGGGATCCAGGTATCTGGGTGACCCCAAATAAGGGACCCACCCACCCAGGCACCTCCAACCACCTTCCCCCTCCCCTCACCCTGTGTCCTCCCCCCCCGTGTCCAGGTGGCCCGCGCGGGGATGGCTCCGGTCGTGGAGGTGTCGGACGCCGGGCACTGCCGGGCGCTGCTGCTGGAGCTGAACGAGCAGCGGCTGCGGGGCCAGTTCTGCGACGTCACCATCATCGCCGAGGACACCAAGTTCCGCGCCCATAAGAACGTCCTGGCCGCCTCCAGCCCCTTCTTCAAGCGCGCCCTGGCGCAGGAGCCCGCCTGCCCCTCGCCCGCCCAGGTGCTGGAGCTGCCGGGGGTGCAGGCCGGCGTCTTCTCCGACGTCCTCAACTTCATCTACAACTCGCGCCTGGCGGTGCCGTCGCCGGCGGCCGCGCGGGCGCTGGGGGCCGTGGGCCGGCGCCTCGGCATCCCCTCGCTGCAGGGGCTGGAGGCGGGGGGACCCCCTTGCCCGCCGCCGCCGCCGGACGTGAACGGCACGTGGACCCCCCCGCCCCCTTCCCCGGGGGACCCCCGCGCTCCCGCCGCCGCCCCCGTGGACCTCACGCTGCCGGCGCGGCCCGGAGAGACGGCGGCGGCGGCGGCGGCGGCGGCGGGGGGGGACACGGCCACGGCCTCGCCCTCGTCGCCCTCGCCGGTGTCGCCGTCGGCGGCCGCCTCCTCCTCCTCCTCGCCGGCCTCGCCGGCGGCGTCGGCGCCGTCGCTGCGCTGCGGGCTGTGCGGGCGCGGCTTCAGCTCGGCGGCCGCCCTGGCCTTCCACGCCAAGCTGCACCGCGGGCGCCGCGGCCTCGCCTGCCGCCACTGCGGCAAGAGCTTCATCCACGTCAAACGCCTGCAGACGCACGAGGTCGGCTGTCGCGACGGGGACTCCGCCAACGCCGCCGCCATCAATGCCGCCGTCACCGCCGTGACGGCGACAACAACAACCGCCACCACTGTCACTGGTGTCACTGGTGTCACTGGTGTCACCGGCGTCACACCGGCGGCGCCCAAGGCGGGCAAGAAGGCGCTGCTGCTGCGGCACCGGGCGCTGCTGGAGCCGGGCCCGGAGCAGGAGCCGGTGGTGAAGGTGGTGGACGGGCAGGTGCTGTACCTGTGCGGGGTGTGCCACCGCTCCTACATGACGCTGTCCAGCCTGAAGCGCCACGCCAACGTCCACTCGTGGCGCCGCAAGTACCCGTGCCGCTACTGCGACAAGGTGTTCGCGCTGGCCGAGTACCGCACCAAGCACGAGGTGTGGCACACGGGCGAGCGCCGCTACCAGTGCATCTTCTGCTGGGACACCTTCGTCACCTACTACAACCTCAAGACGCACCAAAAAGCCTTCCACGGCATCAGCCCGGGGCTCATCGCCTCCGAGAAGACGCCCAACGGTGGCTACCGGCCCAAGCTCAACGCGCTCAAGCTCTACCGGCTGCTGCCCATGCGGGCGCACAAGCGGCCCTACAAGACCTACAGCCAGGGCGCGGTGACGGACGGCGGCGGGGTGGTGGGGGGGGTCCTGCTGCCGGCCCCCGCCGCGCCCGGGGACGCCCCCAAGGCCCCCGCGGCCTTCCCGGCGCCGCCGCCGCCGCCGCCGCCGCTGCTGCGGCCGGAGCCGGCGTCGGTGATCGCCTACGGCCGCGCCGCCCCCCCCTCGGTCATCGTGCGCGGCAGCGGCGCCGGGGCCGCCTCCGTCATCGCCTACAACGGGCGGGCGGCCGAGGAGGCGCCGGGCGTGCCTGAGGTGCCGGCGGCGCCCGCGGTGCCGCCGGCGGTGCCCATGAAGAAGCAGGTGCTGCGCGACTACATCGAGGCCCAGCGCGCGGCGGCCGCGGCGGCCGACGGTAACAATGGCAACAACGGCGGCGGCACCACGACACCCGCCCCGAACCCACCGCCCGGCACCGGGACCACCGGCACTGGTGGCGGCGGCCGCACCATGACCTACGTGGCCAAGCCGGCGTACGCCGGGTCGGCGGGCGAGGGGCTGTGCCAGATCACGGTGCGCATCGGCGAGGAGGCCATCGTCAAGCGCCGCATCTCCGGCAACGACCTGCGCGGCGACACCGCCACCAGCACCGGCAACACCACCGGCAACACCACCGGCGACGCCTCGCCCGCCGCCCGCGACGACAGCGACGCCGAGGACCGGCTGTGGCGGCCCTACTACTCCTACAAGCCCAAGCGGAAGGCGGGCGGCGGCGGCGGCACCACCGGCGCGGGGACCCCCGGCGGCGCGGGGACCCCCGGCGCGGCGTCGGCCAAGAAGCCGCGCTGGCGCCGCAAGCTGCGCTCGCTGCGGTGGGCGCCGGGCGAGGGCGACGACGACGACGGTGACGACGACGGTGACGGGGACGTCGGGCGGCGGCGGCGGCGGCGGGAACGGGAGCGGCAGCACCCCTGCCGCGTCTGCGGGAAGAGCTTCACGGCCCTGCGGAAGCTGCGCAAGCACCAGCGGGGACACCACGACGCCGCGGTGGCGACGGTGACGCCGGTGGGGACACCGACAGGAGGGGGGTCCGGCGGTGTCCCCGGAGCCCCCCCCCCGGGTGGGTCGTCGGCCGTCGCTGCGCTTCGCCTGCGCCCGCTGCGCCAAGGTTTGCAAGACGGCGGCGGCGCTGAGCCGCCACAACAAGCGGCACCGCGACGACGACGACCGGGAGGAGTCGCCGCCGCCCTCCTCCGTGTCGCCGCCGCCGCCACCCCCTGTGTCACCCCCACCATCACCCGTGTCACCCCCTCCCCTCCCCGTGTCACCCCCCCCACCCCCAGTGTCGCCCCCGCCCAGCACCGTCATCGCCTACACCCCCCCGGCCGCCGGTAAAGAGGAGGGGGGGGCACCGGGGGGAACCGGGGACAGAACGGGGG